TGAAGTTTAAGTTCCGTAACAACATTATCCACTGTCTCATTCACATCTGCATCTAACCATAATAGCTGGTAATTGTCTAAACTTTGTACCAGACATATTCGATTTTGTGCAGTTGTAGACGAAGAAGATAATTTTGGAACTGTAGTTGTAATCGAAGGAGATTTACTCCTTGTTATCGTATATAGTATATAGGTAGTTATATAATAGAGCTGCGAAAAGTAGCGATTTTCTTTTCTTTTGTTTTCTATTTTCTATTCTTATTCACTTCTTATCTTTTTTCGAACTATGTATCACGTTTGTATGTATACATCACGCGTATACTTTCGTTTATGTAGTAGTTCTTCGCGTAAGTGTATATTTTACTTCTGGTTAAACAGGCTGTTTTCTTTCTCTGCGTATGTGCCTGAACTTTCACATATTGTTGTTTAGGTTGTTTTTTCGTATCAGATTCTGATTTCATTGTATCGATAGTGTTTTCTCTATCCGCCGATAATAATGGAGCATGTCTCTTTTTCGGTGGTAGGGGGAAAAGTTAAAATGTCTCTCTTTGAAATAAAAATAGCTTATACTAAGCGTAACGGGTGCTTCAGAATAAATCGGTCACTTAGTATTTTGCTCATGTCTCAGTTGAATTTTATGTCCTAAGTTTTATTGTTTTCTCCAAAGATGCGCAGTGAAATTTTCTACAAAAAATATATTTAACAGTTTTCTATATACCGTAAAGATAAAAGAATATAGAAGAAATACTGTGAAGCTTCAATCTCGATTACTTTGCAACGCAAGAAACAATGAAAAGAAAAATTTTTAAGCGCAGTGTCATGCATAAAGGTGGAATCAGAACGCAAGTTCTAATGATTTGAAGTGTCGTCTTTTGTTTTCGTCTATCATAGATTCGGTTTAAACGCATTTTTCTGACACAAAAGACAATTGTACGAAAATTTACTAAAACAACGGAAATTTTGTCTTTTTTGGCCGTGACACAGGAAACGAAAAGAAGATATTGAACTTTCTCTGTAAGGATGCAATAGAAGAATTATTTTACTTTAAAATACAACAAACCCGACCTCAAAATGTTTGATTTTCACCGAATTATAAAAGTTTTTCTAACTGCGCCAAAACTGCAGTCGGAAAATGTTGATTTCGATAATAATCAATAAAAGAGAAATAATAAAAATAAACAACCGATTATGATTACGAAGAGTTTTAAATATACCAACGTGATAGAGCTTTTTAAGGGCTACCGAATGATCATCTTATTGTTTTTCGCTTCGCAAAATATGAAGGTCTAAAATTGAAAAAGTTGTTTTCTTGCGTTACAGAGTAATCGAGATTGAAGCTTCACAGTATTTCTTCTATATTCTTTTATCTTTACGGTATATAGAAAACTGTTTAATATATTTTTTGTAGAAAATTTCAAGATTTATTCTGAAGCACCCGTTATATCACTATTTTTTTCTTTTCAGATATTAGAGCTGCGACAAATAGCGATTTTCTTTCTTTTCTTATTCACATTATATATAGTGTGTGGATATCTGGTCGAAAGGAGCAAGGTACTCTTAACCCGATCAGACCATATTGCATCTTCGGGCAATATATCTAGCCAGAACGGGCAATATTGCTTCATCGGGCCAGAAGTCATGACAACGGAATGACTGTTGTCTGTGTAGAGTGATGTCACGTTTCCTTTTTTTCCTCAGTGTATACGAACNTACTAAGGAAAAAAAGGAAACGTGACATCACTCTATACAGACAACAGTCTTAATGGTGTATTCTCGTTTTACCGACTTTTTTCTTAATTGATATATACACTAATTAAGTGATATGTATGAAAAATTTATATTTTGTAATACAGAAAAAGAAAAGAAAACTTAGAATTTTTTAATACTAATCAGTTTCATACTTCGGTCGTGAAATTCATTTAATGTTAATTTGTGTTCTTTATATCTTTTTTCCAAATCAAGAATGCGTGTATTTCGTTGAACATATAACTTTTTACGTGAGGGTCTTGCACCAGTGGCAGAAATTTGTGTTATAATAGCNCTTTTAAACTATTAAGAAATACGTAAAAATTTGGATGATGAACATGATAAAGCGAAGAATTTAGTCTGCAATGCCATCCCTCGACGTTATTGTTAGTACGATGACTCAAGAAATCAAAATAATTCCACAATGAATAATCAAACATTGCATTATCATCTACCCATGTTGTTGTAAAATAATCAAAAAATGGTTCAATATTTTGAACATATTGAAAATCATCCATAATTTGCACCCATAAATTTGGAATCTGATTTGGTGGCATAAAAGCAAGTGCAACTGTTTTTTTATATAAATTTCGAACATTTATATCATTAATATCTGTAGATTCAGCATCAATAAAAGCAGACTGAAATCCTAATGCTTGTAAATGTTTATATAAACATTTATTAAAGTGAAAGTTGCA